TGGGGAGTATGTGTGTCGGTCACAGATGTGGGTTGGTGTGTTTGTCTGTTGGTTGCTGATGGGGTGTCGGTCGGTAATGTTTGGTTGCTGTGTGCTTTCGTAAAGTGTCTTGTCAAATTGTCAAGTCGTGTAAATACTTTCCCGCAAGTTGAACAGGAATGTCTTCCTCGACCGTGTGCAGAGTCGTGATGTCTTGTCAAATGCTGTTTAAGGGTGAACACTCGGTTGCAGATCTCGCATGTGAAACGGGTCATGGCTTGGTGGGTGGTAGGTTGGGCGGCTTCCATTATTGACGATGTGTCTAGTGTGTGGATCAGTCGGATGCTTGGATAGGTCGCTGGCTGTAGAATAAAAAGAATTACATAAAATAAAATACATGAAATAAAAAAAAAAAAAAAAAAAAAAAAAAAACATACTTAAAATAAAATTGAAAATGAAACGTACCTATGGGTTTGCACGTCTAAGCTGAACGTGAAGTTAGCTGTATGTGGAGATCCGAAGTGGTGTAGTTGGATGTAGTTGGAACGTTTGGTTCAGTGGATGCCTCGGGGCTGGGTAGGTAGCTCAATTGGGTCAGTGGTTGTGTCGATGAGTCGGTTGTACACTAAAAAAGAAAATTCAATTGACTACTTATTTAGATACATATTTATTTAAAGGGTATTTTAATGGGGTTAGTTCCCTTAAAATAAACGTACTATTAACCTTACCTCGGTGTGCGATTCAAAAGTAAAGTAATTAATTAAAAGGTATTTGAATGGGGGTTAGCTCCCTTAAAACAATACGTACTATTAACCTTACCTTGGTGTATGATACAAAACTAAAGTAAATACCTGTGACTACGTATTTAGAAAAAGGTTTAATTAAAAGGGGTTAGCTCCCTTAACACAAAAGTAATATTATCCTTACCTTTAATAGAATAAACACGCACAAAAGATGTGGTCCGTGTAGGGTTAGGTAGATGTGATGCTTGGTAAAGCTGGCGTGGGTTTAGTCTCAGGAGTCAACAGAGGTCTCATCCAGGATAAGTCGCTGTGAAGTTTGGTGTGAAGTCCGAAGTCGAAGTGTTTAGAACGCAATTTTCGCGGTCATTTATACGGTTGCTCAACCTAATTACACCACCAGCTGTCGCACAACAGCTGTTGCATAATGACCTACGTGCTTCGCGGAGCTAACAAAGCGATCGGTAAAATCGATTAACGTGGTAACAGATGTTCCCACACTTAACGCGGAGAGGCAGTTAATGTACGTCGTTAATTATCATGACCTATCAAACCTAGCGGGGAAACTCGGTGAAGCATAACAAAATTTAATTAGGTGGGACATCATGCTGTGATGGCCCGTGGGTGCGATCAATATTAACGCGCCCGTTGTTTGACAAGAACAAAGGATTGCGGATCGATATGTAACACATGTTGCACGGTTGGTTAAATGGATGTTCTATTTTTGGTAACCGTTCGTTGTGTTGCTGAATGGTCCCTATACAAAGTACACGCTAGTGTTAGTCTTTTATTTAAAACATACATACAAGCAAATAAACAAACCAACAAATTAAACAACAAAGAAAAGAAATATATTAAATAAACAAATAAACAAAGTAATTAAAATCAAATTACGTAACTAGTTAATAATAATTTAACTAATTATAAAATAAAATTAAAAATTTTAAAATTCAAAAAAATTAAAATCCAATTACGTAACTACTCAATAAAAAATTAATTAAAAAGTAAACAAATAATCAAATTACGTAACTCGTTAATAAAAATTACACAGTATAAACAAAGTAATTAAATTAAACAACAAGTAAACAACAAATTAAACAATTAAAAAAGTAAACAAATAATCAAATTACGTAACTAGTCAATAAAAAATTAATTAAAATTTAAAAAACTCATTAAAACTCATTAAAACGCATTAACATTACGTAACTAGTTCAATGATGACGTCACAAGGTCACTAATTACGTCACAAGGTCAAAGATTACGTCACAAGGTCACCAAAAGGTGACCCACCCTTCACTCCTCCGCCAACCCCAGTTGGCGTAGTATTTTACTATATGTCTTTGCGCCCTCTGCGCATCCTGCTCACCCACCCTTACCCTCCCGATGCGCCAGGCTGGGAGTATTTTGCTATATCTCTTTGCGCCCTTCACCCTCCGCTCCTCCCGAGTATTTTACTATATGTCATTGTTCCTCACCCTCCGCTCCTCCGCCAAAAATGATACCCAAAAGTGACCTAATATACTACTGGTATAGCGAGTATACAAGATATATATATATATATATATATATATATATATATATATATATATATATATATATATATATATATATATATATATATATATATATATATATATATATATATTATATATAATATTTTGTTGTTTTTGATCGTGACTTGTGGCGATAGAACTGGAAGAGGAGGAGGGGGGGGGGGAGAATCAGTGTTTCTTCAAGACTTTTTATTCCGGGTGGGGGGGGGGGAGGACACTGATAAAAGTATATATTATAATTTCTATACATTCTATTTCGTTCGGGGGGGGGGGGGGGTAAACATTTTTCGAAACTCTGGTTAGACTTGTGCTAGAAGCAACATCGAGATGGCCCCAACAAGCGGAATATGACCTATGAAAGCACGGTGTTGTAAATTTGGTACGGATAGTAATATGTTAGGCTATAGAAGTCAGACTTTAAATGTACCAAGTAGCCTATAAAGCTCATTTTTAAAAAAAAAATAGTCTAAAACTAATTCTCCGTCAACTTGTCCACACTGATTTTACAATTATTTTGTGTACCCTCGTTCAATAACTACATACTTAACACCCCCGTATCTGAAAATCCATGAAAAGTAAAATATTTGACTTTAGTGTGCATTACCCGCCAAGGCGTTACCACCCCCCCCCCTCCCTCCCATGTTCCCGTCTCAGCCCCCCTGACACCTATTACCTCGCCGCCACCATGAGCAATTAGCCCCGTCAAGTGTTCGGCTGACGGGGACACCGCCAACCAGCTTACGCGAGAGGTCAACCGGTGCTCCTATTTTTTTTACCCGCCCAAGAAAAGTCCCCTACTCGCTGCGTCTAGCGACTGGGTTCCTAACCGTTTGCCTAATGCACGAAGGCAGAACAATTCGCCGTCTGCAATTAATGACCCAGCGGTAGACACGTACACTGACAAAGCCGGCGGGAAGGAAATAAATAACCGCGGTAATTGGATCAACTTGATGCGAACGGAGCAGTTTAAAGTACGGCTACGGCAACCGGTGTTTAAGTCAACTTTAGTTTATTCACTTAAAATTATCATCGTTTTTAACTCTCATGTTTTTGTATGAAAGATAAATACATATAAACTAATAACCCAAATTGTTTAACGTTTTACTTTGTTGGATATAAACGGAGACTGTTAGAATATTGTTTGAGTTTTATGGATTGAATGAGAAAACATACACCGCAAATAACGGGTTCATGTGTGTACTAAATAACTAAATGACAGAGGTTTGGTGCGCCGTACATGGGAAAAGGCTGCGGAGCGCCGCTTGAGATAATGTAAGCCCCGTCTTATTCACAGGCAGTCGCCGTTTACCATTTGGCTGCTGGTGGAATTTGGTTATTGAACGCGGGTCATTGATTGAGGTTTTTGATTTATTCTGAAAATGGAACGGGTCAAGAAGTCCGCCAGGGTTTGACCTCTCCCGACGCCGTGGCTGGGATCTCTTTGTTGCTGAAACAACTATTTGAATTGACGTCACGTAATTTCAGCTGATTTTATACTACGCCCCCCCCCCCCCCCCCCCTTATCGTTAAACGCCATCACAAGAACCTCGACTCACTAAAATGACGTCACGAAGTCACATCCGCCTGAATATAAGGTTACAATTATTTATTTTTCAACATATAATTAGATCCTTAATAAGAAAAAAAAAATGTTACGCCCCATTTTTACCACTAACCCCCCCCCCCCCCCCTCACTTAGTAGTAGACCTACATTCTCTCAAAGAGTCAGACCATCTCTTTATAGTGATGTCACACACAAGTTTCCCTTCAGACAATTTTTTTTTAAAATTGCGTATTTCTCATTGCTTTACATTACTGTATTGTATATGACACGATACTCTTATTTTCCGGCACGTGAATGTACTTTAGTGTAAGTTCTTTAGTTACATTAGTGTAAAATGTGTAAGTTCAACTTCAGAGCGAGTATTTGAAATTATACAAAACTTCATAACCTACATTGAATAAGGACAGTAAACATCGCATAATCTTCTTGACACAAAACAGCGAACTGGAAAAATAAGCAGTAATCGTATTGTCTAATCGGGTTTAAAGCACACAGTTACGCAGAATCTAGGCTAATATCCTGATTATATTTGCTTAGGATAAATAGTTGAGGTATTGCTCTAATGGAAAACTTTCATTTTCATTTTAAAATAGTGTAACGCTGCCATAGTTGGGATGTGGTGTGATGTCACCCATTGAGGTGTCAGTGTTTTAAGGGCTGACCCTGAGAGATAACACAAACGATCAATGACGCATTTGCTGATAGATCATGGCTTTATGACATATACGGCAAATCCATGTACAGTAAATCCATACACGGCATATAGCCTATTATAGCCCTTCATTAGGTCGACATAACCAAGTTAAGCAACTGACGATCCTTGTCTTTCGCAGCCTGGGGTTTGAATGCCGCAGACACAGGTACAACTACCCACAGTCCCAGAGGTCACATGACATGGGAACAAGGGGAACATCGCTCACGGAAGAGCATAAAAAAATACATCAATAGTTGCGCTCCCAAATGGGCCGCAACCAAATAAATTACAAATTATCCCCCCTGAATGGTAACCCATGGTATGTGTTACAATAACAATAATTTTTTTTATTAACATGCTAAGCAACTATTTTGAAAATACATGTACGACGAACCTGCAATGCCACACCATTACCCATGTCAGTCATTTTGTTTCCACTTTTTATTGAGAACATATTGTCAAAATCATCCACTAAATGCATTTTATTTTATTGGAAAACACACACACTATATGAAACAATATGAGCAGCCATTTATATTTTATTTTTGTGTATTTTTTCATTTAACGTTTAATTAAAATCTGCTCTTCTACATGTCCTGAAAAACATTCTATAACTTATCACAACAATTTTAAAAACAATATTTTAGTAAATATTAACTTCAACACTTTAATAGGCACTAATAAAAAAACTAAGTGAAAAAATTGTTAGGTTAAAAAATGTTAATCTTATAATCACAAATGTTATTGTTATACAATTTACACTTCACTTGAGCAAACTGTAGTTTATTTACATTTTTACACTGGTAATATATTATAAACAATTAATAATAAATCAATTTATAAACATTTTAATAATCTAAACTGCAATATAGTGAATATTTTTAAACAAACACATACATTTGGGTAATGAGCATGAAAAAAACATTGCTTATTCTTGATTGAAATGTTTTTTTTTTACAGTTAATATTTCACATAGAATATTACAACATGATTTTTAAGAAATTTATCTTACAATCTAGCAATCACTAAGAAATCCAGTCAATAAAAATAGTTCTCTCACATTCTCGCTATCATCTTGTTATTTTCCTGAAAATATAGCAATCTTGTAGAAGTTACCTTGCAAGCTATCAATTTCCTTGAACCAGTCACCAAAAAGAAAGGAGCGTCATGGTGCCAGATTTTTCAGGTGAGGCAGTGATGAGCTTTGTTTCTCCAACCCACATCAGGTGCAACTTGGTAGGGTTGCGATGCAACACAGCCAACTTTTTACCTGACTATCATTAAATGCAAGATTTATCATTACTAGTGTGTTTCCATAAGTTTCAGATTTTTTTGGTAAGATTTTTCTATATTTATATTATAGATTAACTAGATTTGAATTTATTTATTTAACAATAATTTAAAATTGGACTAAATAGTTTCAACACATGTCTATAAATAGAAAGCTGACCTACTTTAAAGTCCCACACAATAATCATCCTCTGGTCACCTCCACTGACCAGCCTCTCTTCGTTTATGTGCAGACAACGAACAATGCCCATGTGCTCTGACAATGTATGTAGCAATATTCCTAGGTTTGAAATAAAAAAATTAATAATCAATTATTTTCTGCTATTATTGTTAGAATTGTAACTGTAAGGAAAAATATCAATGATTAACTTTGAGTTCGAGAAATAATAGAAAAAAGTAAATAGTTTGGTAATACACATTTGATAAACTTTATACAAATAAAGAAGAAGATGCATTGCTGGATTTTGAAAGTTACTGCTACAAAAAAAGGATAAAAACAACATAAAAACAAAAGACTAACCTAGATGTGACCAAAGAATTATGGTACTATCTGATGATCCAGAGGCAATGCAGTAATCATTGTAAACAACACAGTACTGTGAATTTTAAAAAGATAAAGTTTTTAATTATGCTTAAGAAAATATTTTATCTGTGTTAAAGATGAATATCAGTTTTCAAATATCATGGATGAACCAAAGTTTTCAATGTTCAATTTTAAAATGGAATGACTTTTAGGTGATATTTATATCTATGCATGATGCAAAGAAATCAGTAATACAAAATTTGTAGTAAACATAAAACTATTTCCACTGAGTTCACTTTCAATGTTTTATATGATGTAAAAGATTTTAAAACGTATGTTAATGTATGTATGTAATGCTATTTTGTTGCTAGTAGTAATTCTAAAACAAGAAAATATTAATGCACTAATTAAGCCATTAATACATTAATTAAGCCAGCAATGCACAAATTAGGTAATTAAGGCACTAATTAAGCCATTAAAGCACTCACAACTTCTCCTCTATGTCCAGATAAAAGATGAATACAATGGCCACTTTGGCAGCTCCATATTCTCACATCACCATCATAGCTTCCACTCACAATTTTTGTTGAATCAAACTGGCAACAGGATACAACTTTAAAAACAACAACAGCAATAGCTGAATAAAATATCATTAAAACAAAATAGACCTAGATCTACATAATTATGGTCTTCTAATTGAATTTTCATGCAGGCAAATCGAAGTTCTGTAACTTAAAACATCTTACAAAAATACTTAAAGTAATATTTTGAAAAGTGTTGTGTTATCAATCTAAAATTTAAGTTAATATAAATAACTTTAAATGAACTGGGTCCAACTATGTTTTAGTAGAAAAAATTTATTCCACAGTAGAAATATTGTACCTTCGTTGTGACCAACATACTGATGAACACACACGCCAGTTTCAACACACCACAGAATTAGAGTTCTGTCCCATGATCCTGTTGCTACATGGTTTCCATATGAAAACATGCACTAAAATTACAGTAAAAATTATTAATGAAGTTTAATTATTTTCTCTTAGTAATAAAAGATATTGATTTTGTTATTTTTCAAAAACAAGAATCAAACAGACAGTTGAAAAGTCAACATCTGGTACTGTGCTTAATTTTTAAATATGTAAAAACTAAAAATAGTCCTAGGAACAGTTTTATATTGTTTTGTTTTCCATGTTAAATATAAAGATAGGTAGCTGTATTGTAGTTTTATAAATAAGTGGAGTAATTAGGATTCTTTGACAAGATTTGAGGGCAAAAAGAAAAAAAAATCCAAAAGGAATTTAAAATATTAATATTCAGTTAAAATAAAATAAGAATGTTATTTTTCTTTTAGTTGTTCTTACCTCTATTTCATCAGTATGTAATGTCATTGTGTGCATCAGTTCTTTGCTTATAAGAGACCAAACTTTCACTGTACTTTATGAAAAAAAGTTAAAAAAAAATTTTCGGGTATAATGCTGAAGATATTCAGTCTGATGATTTACAACTAAGAAAATATAATGAGAAAGAAAAATGTCAACTAACTTCCATCCTGGAATACACGAAAATATCCAACTAGGTAATACATCATAGCTTACCAGTCAGAACTGGCACTAATCACAAAGTAGTGATCAACACTAATGTGACTGATACAGTCACTATGACCAAGAAATGTCAGCTCATGATCTCCAGTGGTTGTGTTGATAACATGAATACAACCATCTCCTAGGCCAAAGACAGCCAAAGAACCCTGGATAAAATACATTGTTATAAAATGTGATAAAGATATATGAGAGAGTATTTAATTAAAATATGACTTAGATACACATCCAAAATTTTCATTCGTATCAAATTTAGAACATTGAATAATTTATAACTTTCATTCTTGTGAACTTAAGTTTCATTTTAAAACCAATTTCATAATAACTACATTTACAAATCATTTGATATATGAAATAAATGTCTTTGCAGATTAAACTCTCAATAAACTATGAAGTGAACAATAAATCCATTGTTTACTTTCCTAAAAATGTTGAAGACTGAATAGAAAGGTGGATGGACTCCACCAAATAAAAATCTAGATTACACAAGTTTCAAACATGGAAACATGGACTAAATATTAGAGTATTTTGCTTTTAAATATTGAATAGATAATAGAAAACCTAAGTTTCAGCTTCTCTTAATCAAAAATTATTTTTGATAATTGAGTGTTTGATTAGTTTAAATGATTTTCAACTTACTAAAATTTTAACAGCTGTAATTGTATTTGAATACCCTTCAACTTTCCTGATACATTTGCATGTTCTTAAATCCCAAATGCATACAGTTCTATCATTGCTACCACTCACCAAACAGTTGTCTAAAGCACAATAATTTTTAAATTAGGAGATGAAAAAAATAGTTTAAAAAAAAAAACACAATGGGTATGTAAAAATTTACTTTAAGTAATGTAATGGGAATATAAAGTGGGTATGAACAGATATAATTTGGTGCAGAAAGAAAGAAAGAAAATTCCAGGTTTAAAACATTAACATATTAACAATGTACCACCATTAAAAAAGATATTTTTAAAATTCTGATATATAAATGCATAAATAATCTTATAAATTTAAAACTGGTATTTTTTTATAAGTGAATAAGAAAAAAAAACAACAGCATTTTTTTTCAGTGGCTGAGAAGTGATTAGATTCTTACTAGTCATAATTAGTTGTTGATATTTTTATGGTTAGTTCTCAGTTTAAAACATAGAAGCATACTTATCAATTGCCACAAAGAAGTATTTCACATGAATTATTTTTAAAAATCCAAATTAAAAAACGATACAATTTTTTTAAATGTCATTTAAACCAGTACCTTGACAGTCAAATGCTGTAACTTTGTCTGTGTGGCTCTTTAGAGCTGCCACCACAGTGTAGCGACCTTTCCTCCAATTTAAATTAAGGTGTTCCATTCTAATAAATACGTGCTTCCATTTACAAATGGGAGAAAGCCTAGTATTTCCTGGAACTATAGTTTGATGAAAAAGATATTTTAATTAATATTTTAAAACAGTTTTTAAAGATATGTATTTTGTTATATTAAGGGAGAATTTAATTTTGTCAATAAACTATTTTTTTTACTTACCGTTCAGAACAAACAATGGTGAGCTACTAGAGGAATTACTAAAAGGATTAGGATTCCAGGATTCCTCTTTCAGAATATCAAAACTAACACCATACTTTAGCCACCCTCTTGAAATGCAAAAATGTATCCTGAAAAGTAGGAAATTTGTGAATTTATATGAAGACAAGATTACCATAACACTTTGGATTAAAGTGAAAGAAAACTGATGGAAAAAAACTCAAACCATAAATAATCTGTATTAGCAATCTCTCTCCATTTAACGCAAACTAGCTGGAATGTAGACAGTTCATATGCATTTAGTAGATGAAGAATCTTCTCTGTTATCTCTGCAGGCAAAACTTGAGTGAAATCAAAGGTTGTCACACTTTTATCATCTAAAAGATAATAAAACAGCGTGCCTTCAGTTTAAAAGAATTTAGAGTCATAGAAAAAATAAAATATAAATACATGATAAAAATATCATTGTTTAATTAAATAATATAATAGTGCTCCATTTTGAATTCGCCATAAAAGGCATTGTGCTTTTTTATGTTGGAATTAAACTTTAAAAAAATTATTGGTTTTTCTGGATTTTCAATCAAGTTTATGATCTCAACATTTAATTACAAAATTGAACACTCAACTACTAAACGCTAAAATGTAAAAAGAATTATTAAAATATTATATTTAGTCATCCCCGATTGCACTTATAAAAATATAAACATTACAATTCTTAACTCAAACTATTTTTTAACTATTCATAACTATGCCATGCCCTATAACTAGTGAGTACTACTACTAACTAAACTAAACTATGAAATTATTTGGTGTATTCTGAAGTATTCCAACGAACTTTATCTTTATATTAAAAATGTAGGTAATCTATCGTTTTGGGTACGTAAAATCGCCCGCGACTTGTAATGTGAAAAACAGGTGACTCTTTAAATTTTAATAATTATTTCCCATTTTGAGGAGGATTTATGTTTTGAAAAATACAGAAATGTTTCCTTGTTTCATTAATGTACCTGTTTTCAAACAATTGAATTAAAACTTTTCAGTAATAAATGAAGACTAGCGATGTTTCCAACAGATGCACCCATGCTCATTTACTATAGCAGCCATCTTGTTTAAGTTCTTTCTTTGTTAACTTATAGCGTGAGATTCAGGGGAAGGCAACTCTATTTTACAAATGGCTGCTGTTATATATATATATAGGAAATCCTGCTCACAAACACTGCTGTTAAAAGTTAATTTCTTGCCTATATTGATATATTTAGCTATTGATTTACGTTTATTATTCATTTATCTATAATATTTGACACAAATATATCAAAATATACTTTTATTAAAGCCTTGACAATGAGGTAACTTTTTCGTACATTACTAGCCGCGGGCGATTTTACGTACCCCAAACGATAGATTACCAATATAATATGCATTGTTTAAAATATAAATATATGCATACCCATTGTTATTGTTCATGAGAAAAGACATATTATTCTAGGAGGCTTATCCTAGACTTAAATCTACACTAGTCGATTAAATGTAAAATCTAACATAATCACTCAGTAACTTTTTGTTCAGTAACTATAGACGCTATTTCTCATTTATATTTTGTGAAGTAAGGCACAGGAAAATATTAACTTCAAATACAAAAGATATATTAATCGCCACTCTAAATACCAAACTAACAGCAAACTTACAAAACAATCATACCTACTTTCAGCTTACTGAACTGATAATTAGTTGTTTTTTTTTATTGATGCCCTAAAAAACAATTTTTAATATCGTATATATATATATATATATATATATATATATATATATATATATATATATATATATATATATATATATATATATATATATATATATATATGCATACATACATACATGAAACTTATAACAACACAATTTTGCATTATAATATCTCCGCAGTTTGAGACGTTTAACCCTGTAATGCAAGCATGTATGTATTATATTGCGCCATACAACTAGTTCAAGCAAGCCCAATTCCAGAAATTTTCCAAAGCTTGTTAGATTACACAAAATCGAAATTTACAGCTTTTAGAAACACTTTGTATGGCAGTTCTCAATAACTAAAATCGTCCATAAACGATCCGACGTCACCCTTTTCTAAACGATTTTACGCCCTTCCCTAACCGTCACATCAGAAAAAGAAAGACACCCCACCCCAAAAAAAAAAATTAAAAAATTGACACCTAGCGCCCCATCAAGATTGCAATTTTTTTTCAGAACAGAGGTCAACATTGAGTATATGAATGGTTCAATATTTAATTATTTATACAATTTAAATAGAAAATAGTTTTAAAATTCAGTTTCAAATATTACTTTTTAAATTCGAAAAAGTCTAATCACACATCCTGACGTGATTTGTTAGGGTCCTTGCCCAAACATAATAATATAGCAATTGGGTATTAAATCGGATTCCATTTGACAGCGCACTGTTTTTTTTTGTTTTTTTTTTAAATAGTTGGAAGCAAACATATTTTATTCATATCATTATGGAGTGCCAAACATTTGTTTCTATTTAGTCAAATGAAATAGGCTTATCGATAGTTATGAATATTTTTTCTCTTTTCTGCTCATAGTTCGGTAATTAGTCAATAACATCGAAACCATTTTCAACGATTTGTTTAGGTTATTTTGTAGCCTACATTATCGTGGGAAATGTCAACACAAGAATTTAAAGTTATTATTCGGTGACTTTTACTGGTTAGGACCACATATTAAAAAGTAAATAAAAAGAACAACGCTTTCCTTTTAGTCCCTATTTCTTTTAATTTACTAGATCTAGAAACATTTTTTGATCGAGGAAAACCTCAAAAATAAAAATTATTAAAAGAGCCCCCTCCCCCCCCCCCCGCCTAAAATAAAATTATTTTATCAAGGCCCTAGGCCTAAAATAAAACATTAACTGTACTGTTCTGTAGGCTATACTATATCTAATCTAATCTTGGTAATCTATCTTTTTGGGTACGTAAAATCGCCCGTGGCTATTCATGTACGAAAACGTTACCTCATTGTCAAGGCTTTAATAGAAGTGTATTGTCATATCATATGTTTGTGTAAAATATTATAGATAAATGAACAATAAACCTAAATCAATGGCTAAATATATCAATATAGGCCAGAAATTAACTTTAAACAGCAGTGTATGTGAGCAAGATTTGCTATACAAACAAAAGCCATTTGTAAAATAGAGTGGCTTCCCCCTGAATCTGCGCTGTAAGCTTATAAAAATAAAACTTAAACAAGATGGCTGCTATAGTAAATGAGATTGGTTGCATCTGTTGGAAACATTGCTAGTCTTCATTTATTACGGAAAAGTTTTAATTCAATTGCTTTAAAAACAGGTACATAAATGAAACAAGGAAACATGTTTGTATTTTAAAAAACATAAATCCTCCTCAAAATGTGAAATAATTATTAAAATTTAAGGAGTCACCTGTTTTTCACATTTCAATTCGCGGGCTATTTTACGTACCTAAAACGATAGATTACCCTAATCTTTTATGTGCACGAGAGTTAGGCTTATAATTATTATTTTGGTAAAACCTTAGTTTAGCGTCGGAAATTATCGGGTAATGTTTGTTGAGTTTCGGTAACTAGAGTTACGGTAAACCATGGTTTATTTGACCATTGAAATATAAATCAATTGAAAGTCGATTGTAGTAAATTAATGTTTTAATTTTTTAAGTTTAATCGACAAAAGGAAACAAGAATAAATATAATAGTAGATTTAAATAAGTAGATCTAAAAATAAAAAAAAACATATATTAATATAAATATAAATAATGAAGTCAAATGTAATAATTTAATGTTTTTTGCTTGCAGCGGATTTGCGACCATTAATTAATTAGATCTAGATCTAGCTAGATATCTAGCTGCTAGGCCAAGTAAAAAAAAATCTAGATTACGAAAATAGTAAAAATGATTACAAAATGTAAAAATGATTACAAAAATAAATCTATCCAAATTTTAAACATTCTGTATAAAAATAAAAGATGACGCCAAATAAAGTATGGTTTACAGTACTTCCGGTGAATTCCGGAAGTGTGTGACAGACTTTGGCATTGTTTTACTGTTTTTTACTGCTATACGATTCCGGAATAATAACCGACGCTAAACTAAGGTTTTACCATTATTTTTTTATTGAGTAGATCTATTAGGCTAATTAGTAGGCCTAATTACTAAGTAATTAGGCTTAGGCCTTAGGGCCTAGGCTACACAAATAAATATTTTTAAATTAGATAGTAACTAATAAGGCCGATGCTAGCCGGAATAAGATACGCATGCGCAATGGAGAGAAACTACGACTTGCCATCGCAATATAAGTCCATGGTTTTTAAAATATAAACTTGACAATTTTTTTATAAGCTTCTTAAAAAAAATAGTTACTTTTAAAATAAAACTTGTCTTTTCTTAAGTTTTCTTACCTCTATCAAGGTTTACCCTTTTGAACTAAATTGCTTTGCTAACTTAATTACCAATGATTTGTATTTATCCATGCAGAATCAATTTATAATGAAATCTTTAACTTTCTAAACGAGTATAAGTAATTAGTTTAAATAGTGATTTAAAAATGATATAAGGCTATTGAAACAATAATTTCTAATACTTAGGGTCCAAGAATGGAGGGAATGTATAAATCTGATCCTGGTTATGTTGAAAACAGTATGCAGCACTTGGAAAGACCTCCATCACCTACTCAAATTTATCCACTTCCTCGCCCTAATGAAGGGATAAATAGCAGCATTCTTGACCCTAAAATAGGTTTGCAAAAAGTTGTTATTTAAATGATTGTCATAGTTATTCAAAACAATATTCCACCATTGAGAAGTAGAGGGTTATTTATTTAATTGTAGCAGAAATATATGTAAGTTGCATATAGGTGAGTGCTTGATCATTGTTGTTATTTATAGATGTTTGTAGATTATTTTATAGCTGCAACACCATGTTAATGTGTCACTATGTCTCATAATGAGCTTATGTGCCTACTATAGCTTTAATTAAAAAATATTTACATATACTAAATGAAATGGATTTTCTTTAGAACATTAATTGGTGAAAAAAATGTCTTATATTATATGCATTTCTACTAGGGAGATAATTAGTAGTATATTTGCATTTTTCTGATTAATACCTTATGTTTTTAAAAGTTTTTCTTTTTTATTCTAATATACAGATGATTCTTTAGAGCGTGGAAATTTTACGCCCTTTCCATTTGATCCAGTTGATAATGTCTTAGATCGCTCTCAGAACAGTCTTGGTGCTTTAGGCAGCATTATGCATCGCAGACTTTCACACTCTCCTGAAGAAAAACACCTGCGACAGGGAAGAAGAAGAAAGTCATCAAAAGAAACATCTATGGATCATTCTAAACACTCCACACCAGGGAAATCCCCTAAGTCTCCAATGGTTACAGATATAGATCAGGTATGAGCAAACAATTTTATTTTTATCAAGACAACATTTGATTTATTTAATTTTACATTATTGCTTAAAATATCTATCTTTCATTTTTTTATTAACTTGCTTGGAATTAAACTCCTCAGGCTATGGCCCAGAGAGATGAAAAGAAGTTAAAATCAATTTTGGTTGAATCCAATCCTGCTGGCAACACTTCATTAGCTGCTTGTAGTAAGTCACCATCCTCACACTATCAAATAGACAGTGATGTGGAGGAGACAAACATTGATGAGGAGCCTCCTAGTGCCAAGATGATTGCCAGTCTGAAACAAAAGGTACTTGTCCTGTTGTCAGAATAGGGAACATAAAAATATAAATTAGTGAACATGAAACTATAAATAAGGAATATAAAACTATAATTTATATTGTTCATCTATTGTTAAGAAATAGAGTAACAAAGCTGTTAAATTTATTACTGCTGATATTGTTAAGAAAACTTTTTAAAAAAGTATTTATTAATTATACAAGATTGTGAAATTTTAAAGTCTTACTTACAGTCAATAGATGCAGAACTAGCAGACAGCTTGATAACCACCCCCAACAGCGTCAGCACTGGGCCAAGAAGGAGGTGCCTGTTAAACAAAGACTACCATGGAGCATCAGTGAGCTTTGATGAAGCTATTAAATGGCCACCAGCATTACCAGCAGAGCTAGACAAAAACAAGGCTGAAAGTTTTGATGGTTAGTATCTTTTACACTTTGCTCATTAAATGTACATCTCAGAATTTAGAGGCTTTAAGATAATATGTAAATAATTAATTAGTGACATTACTGTTATTAGGCAAACCAATTGTTTTTATAAAACAATCTATGTAAGTGTATGTATTGATATGCATAGAAATAATGTTTATAAACAAAGGAGATAAAGTATGAGATAGATAAAAGATATACAATGCTGTAAAGTCCAGCTTTCCTTGAGGATTTAAGTATGAAAAAGGCTGTTTGTCAAGAAATGGTGTGTTAGACCTACTCATGTTTAGATTGTGATTACCTGTATATCATGTTTTCACTGTTAAAGATCAAAATTGAGCTATTCTCATGGTGTGAGTTAATGATGGGGTGTGAGAGAGATAAATAGAGAGATGGAATTTACATTGCTGGGAGAAAAAAAAAGAATTAGCAAACACATATACAATTTAACTTTGTGATATTAAGTTTTAAAAACTGTCTAACCAAAACTTTATTGAAATGTCTTGTTCCAGGTGCCACCTTGATGAACTGGCTGTGTTCAGAGTTCAACGAATCCCATCATTTGTATTCTATTTTGAGTCGCCATGACTACAGAATCATTGTCAGTCAATTTTGCACACATCTTCTCTCAGCGGGTATCCTATCTGAAGCAGAAAAAAAACACAGAGAAAACATATTTAAGGTAAGTCAGTTAGCAGCATTTGTTGACATAAGTTACGTTAGATGTCTCTTCACTTGTGAACTTGAATGTTTAAAATTGCTTAAATAAATTCTATCTTTACATATATTGTTGGATTAATAGTCCATTTAGTTAAAAAATTGAATTTCTTACGTTGATTCGAGGGACCTAAAGGTATACAAAAAAGCCAATTCTGTTGAAGTAATTTTTTTCCATACTCCAACATGTTAGGTTGTAAAATTTAAATTTAAAAAAGAAATTATTTTCTTGTAACATCAGTTATTGAGAATTCTAGCTCATCAACAATGTACTTTAAGAATCTGTTACTGAGCTAGATGAAGTTTCTGCCACAAAATAAACTGTGATTAGTGCCAACCACAGTATCTTGTGGCCACTCATCTTTTGAGCTACAATGCAGTGAAAGGTTAAAGTTTTCAAAATTTCCAATACAAGTGTATCCACCAGCTTTCATTTACAGCATCTAATGCTATAGAGTTAATACATTTCATTTAGGTGACAGTTTCACACTTCGCTTAAAAACTAGATTTTAAATTATGCGTTAATAAAGTAAAATGACTATCCAATTACTTTTTAAAATGTGAAGGCATACGTGTACATTTAGGTTTAGCGTCTTCTTTTATGTTATCAATTCTAGAAATGAGCTCCCAAACTTTGTAGTTTTACATGACAAGTTTTATATCTGGTTTAGAACTTGTTTCTTTGTTCTCTTCATCAATTTTTATTAGTATAGTTAAAATTATTTGATGGAAAGTATACATTTACCATAAATGGCACATTGTTGTTGGTTTTTTAAGTTGTGCATCCAGAAAATACTGTGCCTCTGGTGTATTTTAAAAAAAAAAGGGCAACATTTTTTTTACGCATATGAATTTTTAAAATTCCTACTATAATAAACCTACAAAGATTAGAGAATTTATGAAGGTGGTTTAGTGTAAAGAATAAACATATACTAATACAGGGGTAGTAACATCTACACGTGTTTGTGATGTGTTATAGTGTTATACTTTAATAATGGACTATACAATTAAAAAAACTTCATAACATCATATGTGAATGAAACAATTATCAATGCTGTTCTCAGTTCTCTATAGATCTAATCCTTTAATTAAAACGTAGTTGATTTAAAGTGTATAACAGATGAGACTACCACACATGCACTCATGCTGTGCTCTCACACACACACACTTGTTGCTCTGCTGGTAACATCTGTTTCCTATGTGGTAAACAGAATAGCATTTGTAGTGCATTGACCTGTAACTGTCATACATGATTCAAATGACCTTAAAAGCTGTTACTACAGTATTATAGTATTATCTTATGTGAAGTGGCATCACCTAGTTTTATAAGTTGAGCAAGGTAAAACATAGCAGGTTAATAGTCTGTTTAGGCTTTAATTATGATGTAGTACCAAAAATAAAACCTGAATAAGTTTAAAAATTATCAGTTATTTTAGCAGTTTTCCGATAATCCATTTTTAACTAGCAATAAAACATAATTAAAGTTATGATAATTAAATTGAAATTACAATTTAGAACTATTTTCCGTTTTTTAATTGTGGTAAATTCATAACTTGTATACAAAAAGTGTAAATAAAAACTAAACCAAGAAAATGAAGTGTGTCCAGAGATTGTCATATAAACAGTGAAGTTGTAAAAGATGTTTAATACATTACATCACTTTTTAAAATAGTTCATGTAATCACAGAACAGATAGGACTAAGAGACTGAGTGTGAGTTATTTCCCCTGATCCTGTCACTATCAGCAGATGCATGACATTTGTTTTGGCAACAGCTTATGGTGGGTCACATGAACTCCAGACATGTGACACTTTCCCTGTGCTGGTCTGCTTTGTTTTATCTGCTTTGTTCTTTTGTCTGTTTTGTTTATTTCTTGGGCTAACATTCTTTAAATTGAGCTTCAGAAAAACATATTTTTTTTTAAAGTGAATGCTTCTGTATGATAGATGTGATAATTTTTGTATGTAGAGATGTTTTTATTCTGGATAGTTTCAGTATAATACAGTGTTATTTTTAGGGCTACCATTTTAATGTTAACCAAATAGGATAAAATTATGATTAATTTTTCTCCATTATTATTTGTGACTATAAATTTAGATTATGACTCATCATTTGATTTATTTTAAATGAATAAAACTAGAAATGCTATAACAATTTCAGTGTTGATGCTGTAGAAGTGGGTAATGTTGAGACACATTTTTTTTAATTTTGAGAATTTAGTGTGAATAGAGTAGATTAACTTTTATTTCAGTTTGTGGATTGTAACTCATAATTTCCTATTTCAATTTTATAATCTTAGGAATTAAATCTGTAAAGTTTAGTGATAATAATTTAGCTTAATATTTAAATTTAATAATAGCTTTTAGTTTTAGCTTCTCAACTGTGATAGTTTAATTACCATTTCAATTGAAGTCAAAATGTAAAACAAAATTAACAATGCTAATTTAAAATACAAAAAAAAACAACTGTACAGACAAAACCTATTGAAAGAAAACAGTAGTTAAAAGTGCACAATAATTAATGCTCTTTAAAGAGCCATGTGTTTGAAACAAAACTTTTTGCTCTTTTTGAAAAAGAGAGCTAGAAAAAGGGTAAGCAACTCTTGATTATAATATGAGAATGGAACTGTAACATGTAAGCATGCATATTGAATGGCTGAGAAATACTGTATTATTTCACATTTCAGTATCCCACATAACATAGACAACATGTGTAACTGGTTATTTCCCCTCTCCAACAGACCCACAACCAGTACAAATGGACTGGCCATGACACCTGTCAAGACACACCAGGACTGGAGTCTGCTCAAGCAGCCTCCTACCAGCGACCTGTTGCTTCCTCTTTAAGCCACGATGGGGTGGTTGTGGAGTGGAATCACAGGCCCAGATACTCAGAAGCTGGTGAGTGCCATTGTAACTTTGTTCACCATGTTGAGTCATCCTTGTGGACTTAACGCAGTTAACACTACCAATTCTTCTTACTCCATAACAAATCAACTTGCACTATAAGATTTTTAATAAGCTGATATATTTAAAAATTAGGCTAACATGTTTTTTAACAGAAATATAATACTCTTGTATCAGTTAGTTGATCAGTGGTGTGGTTTTTGTTTATTGTAATGGTTGTTAATGAGATGCTTGTCAAATCTCATTAGCTGTAGAGCTGGCAGGTTTGTTAAACATATCTTAAAAATTTTCTTGCAATTTTTTAACAAATCTAATGTGTAAATATATTCATGTTTGATTGTGTATGTATACATAATACAAAAATTGACACAGATTACTTATTGGTCTCATGCACTACTTATATTTTCATCTTTCTATGCAGCATATTTGTGTAGCTGATGGTTAGTGAGCAAAAATTTAAAATCCCTGAGTCTCCTTAAAATCTCTGTAAAGAAACCTAACCTTTAACTTTCTTCCTTCTCCTGTTTATTATTTTATAGGATTTATTATATTTATTTCTACAATACCTGTTTGTTTATTTGTCAACTTTTAAAGAGCAAGTTAACTTTCTTATATCTAATTCAGCTGTTGTAAAGTATATCAAAATATCTCTTTAAAATTAAAACAATAAAAGATAGATGTATAAAATATATTGGTAAATACGCAATTTTCCTTTTTGTAATAATGTAACTAAACAAATTATTACATTTAAACTGTACAAAATAAATGTGTAGATGTATTTTGATTAGATCTTAATTAGTTTAAATCACACTCCTTGTGTTATGAAATAATAAAAGCCTTAATGTTAGTTAGTCAGATCAAGTGATTTCTAGAGCTAAGTTGCAAAGAAGAAAAATAGTATATTTTATCCTGTGGATTTCTGGACATAAAATGGATTTTTTTTTTATGTTTGAGGTTTGAATCCATTTTAAAAGAGCTGTTACCCTTTTTGTTTTAGATTTTCTCCCTGACTCATCTCTGCTTGAGTAATTGTTTCACATCCATTTTGTTGAAACAAGTGCTTTATCAATGTTTACAGTTAATGTGGTTTGGCTGAAAACTGTGTATGATTTGCCTAGCTGTTTATTCCTGGGGTGATTGTAACAGTAGATAATAGATGCACATTGACAGAGGATGCTATAACCCACATTTTTCTAAACCAGGTTACAGATCTACACCAAGCTGTGATGTTTTTTTTCTTAACGATTGTTCACCCGATGCTGTTCATGTGGACAGCTTGTTAGCTGCACCCCCTAACACCCCACTGTCTACCCCCTTGATGAGCATGGACACCTCCCCCGCTGGTTACTTGAGTGATTGCCTACAGTTTGAGTACTTCAAGAAACCTGACATATCTGGTCAGGATTTTAGCCCTAAGATTGAGAAAACACATTGCCGTATCCCAACAAAGACAGAGAGGATACAAAGAAATATTCCAACAAGCATTGAGGCAGTACACAGTGCTAGCAAACAAGAGCAGAGTTATGAGTTTGATCCTAAGATAGAGCAGACTTTATCCTCTACTGCTAAGATAAAAATTGATGAGTTACAGAAAAGTGAAGTCTCATCATTTGAGAAAAGTGATGTTTCATCCATAGAGAAAAGTGAAGTCTCAACATTAGAGAAAAGTGATGTTCCAACCTTAAACAAAAGTGATGTTCCAACCTTAGAGAAAAGTGATGTTCCAACCTTAAACAAAAGTGATGTTCCAACCTTAGAGAAAAGTGATGTTCCAACCTTAAACAAAAGTGATGTTCCAACCTTAGAGAAAAGTGATGTTTTATCCACCAAGAAAAGTGATGTCTCAACCATAGAAAAAAGTGATGTTGTTACCTTAAAGAAAACTGATGTTCCAACCTTAAAAAAAAGCGATGTCTCAACCATAGAAAAAAGTGATGTTTCAACCTTAGAGAAAAGTGATGTCACAGCCTTAGAGAAAAGTGATGTTCCAACTTTAGAAAAAAATGATGTCTTAACTAGAGAAAAAATTGATATTCCAACTTTAGAGAAAAGTGATGTTTCATCTGTAGAAAAAAGTGCTGTTCCCACCTTAGAAAAAAATGATGTCTCAACTATAGAAAAAAGTGATGTTTCAACCTTAGAAAAAAATGATGTCAGAACTAAAGAAAAAAGCAAAGTCCTAACCAACAACAGCTCATCAGTGCAGGAGATTACTAAAGCTGAGAGCATCAGCTGTAGAGAGCCATCTGTCCACTGGTCCAGCACAGTTCCCTCACAAGTCCTACCTCCTGCCACATCATCCCCTGTCCTGGCCACACACAGTAACAAAAGTTTTCTCAGGCCATCATCAGATCTAATGTTGACAGCACCAATACTGCAGGCTGACTCCCCTTTGCTTCGCTTTGAACCTGTGGATGGTTAGTCACCCAAAAATTCATTGAACAGTTTTTTGTTTTTTTTTGTGTTGAGGTTTATTATTTTTTAAAATTTTCTGGCAACCCAACTTTTTGTTTTTGCATTTTATTTTCAATTGATATTTCTGACTTAACATGCATGTGTTAACATGAAGTTGGTTGTACTAACATTCTGAAGCTCACCTTGATCCAGGAATGACTGGATATCTTTCTGCATTGATTTCTGTGATGTATGCAGGTCTCTGAAGATGAAATGGTTGCTGCCTTAACAAAATTCTTTTCAATTTCTCCCACCTCCACTTGTCTGAAACTTCCAGTCAGCTGTTTAATTTCATTTGGAGATGATTAGAAGGCTCAACTGGCACTAATTGTTTCTTATTTCTGTTTAAAAAAACTTTACAAGTGCATTTTTCAAAAGCTTATGTAGTTGCTAAATTGTACTATATGAAATTAATAGTTTTTAAAGAAACACTTGTTTTTTAAGCAATGCTTATGTTAAGAAAGTATATTTTATAATGGAATACAATTATATACATTATGAGTTCTACTTTCAGAAAGTATAGTTTTTCAATGAACATTAACATTGCCAAAAAACTTTTTAAAATGTAGTTTTTAAAGTCATACTTATATAGATGCAAAGTTTTACTTTAAGAAAATATAAATGTAATTAGTTTGTTAAAAAAATTTAAATAATTGATTTAAGGATCTATTATGTATCCTAACCTAGACTTGGGATATAAAAAAAGTAACCTAGCTGTATGTGAACACTGGCTGGTAAGTGTGTGTTCACTGTGTAATTGGGGCTAATTATGAAAGTGATTACTGTGTTTTGGAGCGTGCCATGGAGCTGGGCCTGAGCTGAGTAATTCAGTCAAGCCTAGCTTAGCTCTGGTGTGCTTTTTACTCTCTCCCTCCCTTTTACCTGCCCAGTAGACCAGGGATTATTTCCTTTTTCTTGGGCCTGTCATCTGAGATAGATAAAATGAAGGGGGACTTGCACCCAGCACTGAAGAATGGAGTCTTGTGTTATTTATGCTATGTGGAGGTGCTACTTTTATAGGCTGCCCCAGTAATTAGGAGGCAATTAACTCTACATTGACTTGGTCTGTGGTTGACCTGGGTGGTACCGTTAGTATTTCTTGCAGTTATTTTGAGAGGATAAAGTGACTGTTCTGGATTCTATATAGATCTATATACAGGCATTGGATTTTTATCTTGTTTAATATATGTAGTATACATTAATTTCATTTGCTTTATCTTCATGGTGTTTTTTTTTTCACTAAAAGACTACACTAGTAAAATTTTATGTAATCAGACTTCAAACACTAGATACTCACTGAAACCTGTAATATGAGGTGGAAGTTATTTCACAGTTGTGGGACTTGTTTAAAGCCACCGCCAAGTGTAATTTAAGGCTAACAACCTAGCATTAGAACTGTTGTCATTTTATTCTCTCCGGCCTTGGTATTTGAGTGGGGCCATTCAGTTTCCAACATGGCAACGTTTATAGTCAAAATGTTCTTGGATGATTCCAAGGCTAAAGGTGAGTCCAGGTCATTGGAACTAACTTCAACTAACTTCGGTGATTTTTTTTTAATTGGCTGATTGTGTGGCTGGTTAAAATTGTTGCGATAATTTTTTTTAAATAACCTCGATATTAAGAGTAAAATAGAGTAATAAAATTAATGCATGTAAAGTGATCCAATAAAATCTTTACATAAACTAAATAAAAGAAAAACAAACAATACTCCATCAGCAACTACCATACACATATCCTCAGCATGGGCAGTACTGTAACCATAATTGACAGTTTATTCCTTAACCAAGCCCTAACCTTTAACTCAACCCTGACCTTTAGCTGATTGAGTAAAACTAGCTGTTCAAAAAGAGTAGTACAGCTAATAAATAAAAGCTAAAAATACTTCAGTATTTGTTTTGTTTAGTTAATTGAATGTTTATTATGATTTTGGAATTTATTTGTATAGAATTGTTCTGATCTTTTCATGATAGTAATATTGATATCGATCACACTGTGTAATAATTTTAAGACGGCGATGATGCTTAATGAACTTTGCACTTAAATATTTAAAGCTATGATTCAGTACTTTTAGATTTACAGAATTGTTTTAGGATAAAATATAAGCATTGTTCTTATGGCTATTATTAAATGCTGGAATTAATATCTTTTAAAAATTAAAATTATTTAACCAACATATACTCAATATAAAAATACTTTAAAATTTTTTTCGCTAGATCCCAAATATAAACACCATCTAGTTACTTGATCTTTTTCTTACTGAAAACTTTTTTCTTCTAGAGAAACGTGACAGTGAAGCGCAACTAAAAAAGGAGTTTGAAGAACAAAAAGAAAGCTTAAAGGTGAGAAATTTGTTGCCAAGTTCCTTTGATTACAGGTATAGATCATATAGATTTAGATCATGTGATCACACTTTTTAACTAAGACACAAAATGGGTAAACTATTAACAAACTGCAGTACTAGTCCTCTGATAGACGCACTTTTTAACTCTTAAGACACAAACTGGGTAAACTACCAACCGACTGCAGTGTTTGCCCTCTAATGGACACACTTTTTAACTCTAAGACACAAAATAGGTAAACTATTAACAAACTGCAGTATTTGTCCTTCAGTTTCCTGTATAAAGTCCTGTTGGCAGTTAGCACTTGATGTTGTGTATTTTTTTATGACTGTGTAGTGGCCGATGTTAGTATTGATTGATTGGTAATTGGGACTGGCTATTAGTGGTGGTGACAGGAGATACTTATCACCACACTGTTAATGGGCTCCACACCTGTTGCCACGCCATGTCCAAGCTGAATCGATGCATGGGCCTGCAGACATTAATGCTTCATTATTTATACATTAACATCTTCTATGTTTATACTCATGTGTCCAGTGTCTTTGATTTTATTATAATGTGGGTTTTTTTTTTACTATAAAAAAAAGTATTGAGCTACTTTTATGTAATTTTACTGATGAGTTTTGGCTTGGACTAGCCTCAGTAAAATAATCGTTCATCAAAAATCAATAGACGAAATACATGTTTCACTGACATAAAGCACTCTGATCATTCATAAAAGAATTGAGGTGGAGTGTAGATTAATTCATTTTTTTAAGTGCATTCAGCTTGAAGGCAATTGGTGGAAATAGAGAATTTTCCCTTATAGTGTTTTTCTATGTTGTAATGGTAGTGTAAGGTTAGGTGTTTTCCATTTTGGTTGTGTTAGTTATACTAGGTTGAGACTTTGTAGACCTAACCAGGTACACCTCAGCCTTATTATCAGATAACTGGATTAATACATTAATATTATTTTTGACGCTGTTGTTTTTTTTTGTATATAGTCCTTTTTTATCTACATGGATTTTAATTTTCAAAACTCTTCAAAAGTGCTGACTTATAAATTGTGGAATAAGAAATTTTCAATACCCCGATTGAGAAATTTTATTTCTTTTAAAATTGTTAAAGTCCAATAAAAAAAAATATAACACATCAGTTAAAACATGGGGTCTGCACTTGCAAAACAACAGGTAAGTAGAGTGACACTAATGATACACCATTTTTACCTACAAAATACACACTCAGTTCATTAATTCTGGCATAATTGTTGCAAAACCAGCACACTTTCCTGCAATTTTAAACAATAGTTAAGTTACGAATATAAAAGACATATTTAGATCAAATAGCTGTTGTTCTGTGCACACAATTTAGGTACTAAATATTTTTGTTTTAAACTAAATGATTTAGGCCTACATGTTTACTAAAATAGCTGTTGTTCTGTGCACGCAATATAGAAACTAAACATTTTTGTTTTGAAGTAAATCTTTCTTCTTCTTCTTCTTCTTCGTTCTTAATTATTAGTGTTGGAGGTGATCGAGATTTATCTGCCAGTGGGTTTGAACTCGAGACTTTGTTCGAATTTATCAACCATGAGCTTTTTGCCGACTCGACCACGCCTCCAACACAATTAAGCGTTACGTGTCAACTGGTTATGCGCCATTGAGGCCATTGACTCCGATTTCAGCCTGCTTTTCTTTTTGGATTTGCTTCCATAGCCTTTGTCCAACCAAGAACAAACTACAAGGCAGCAGTTGTTTAATTTTGGAGTTGTCTCTCCTAGAAGAGTGGCTGTCCCCAGCTAACGAGCCTCATCTGCCCGAGGGTTCGAACTCGAGACTTTTCGGTTTAGCAACCATGAGCTTTACCGACTCGACCACGCCAACCCCTTTGAAGTAAATGATTTAGGCCTACATGTTTACTAAAATAGCTGTTGTTCTGTGCACGCAATATAGAAACTAAACATTTTTGTTTTGAAGTAAATGATTTAGGCCTACATGTTTACTAAAATAGCTGTTGTTCTGTGCACGCAATATAGAAACTAAACATTTTTGTTTTGAAGTAAATGATTTAGGCCTACATGTGTACTAAAATAGCTGTTGTTTTGTGCACCAGATTTAGAAACCAAATATTTTTGTTTTACAGAAAGGACATGAAGAAGAAATTGCTAGGATGCGAGAAGGCTACATCAGTCAGATTGAAAGGTTGAGTGATCAGATTATTGCCTTGCAAGGTGAACTGAACAAGATGAAGACTCTAGCAGGCATAGATAAACTAACACAGGTGGGCACACATTTTTTTCTTGTAGCAAGGTTTTCATCAGATTATCCCAGCATCCAAACATACTTTTGAAGGGGATTGTGGTTTTAAATAGACACTGAAAATTGTAATGACCATAAGGCCGTATTCTAACTGGCCTGATGAATGACATACATACAGTGATTTTTTAACCTTGACCCTAGACAACATAGTTAGATGACCAAATGACCACACACATATATAGTGATTTTTTCAACATTCACCCTAGACAACATAGTTAGATGACCAAATGACCACACACATATATAGTGATTTTTTCAACTTTCACCCTAGACAACATAGATGACCTCACACATATATAGTGATTTTTTTTCAACCTCCACCCTAGACAATAAAGCTAGATGGCCCTGTGACCAATGACCACACTCTTATAAACTGGTTTCTTAACATTTACATTGACATCAATGCCAGATGACTAGATCACTTGCTTATATAATCTTTTTTTTTTTACCATACATCCCATGTGTAAAGTTAATAAAAGAATCATGTCTAACATATGTATATATATATCTGCTATTGCAGGAGGCGTTGCATGCTGCAGATGCTGCCAGTAGAGAAGCAGGCTACAGGCAGCACAATGGATCCACAGAGTCCAAGGAGATGATGATAGCTGTCACCGGCACACCAACCCACCTGAAAAGTTTGAAAGATGACTCACTCTTGGAGACCCAGGATTCTTGCCGCTTTGACGCCCCTCCACCGATTCCGCCACCCCTACCTACCATGACATACTCTAAACCTCCAGTTCCACCACCTCCACCACCTCCACCTCCACATGCAATAGGGGGGCCACCACCACCGCCCCCACCGCCCCCTCCTGGGTTTGGTGGTCCACCACCGCCCCCTCCACCCCCTCCTGGTGGTCTTGGTCCACCACCCCCACCCCCACCACCCGGAGGACCAGGATTAGCACAAAGAAAAGGTAAAAAAACTTTCATCTTTTTTAACGTAGTCATATTTGACTTGTTTCTGTTGGAAAACTTTGTATTGACATTGAATTACATTATAATTTTATTCTAGTAAATATATTTTTGTTTCATCTCAGTTCACAAAGCATGTTTTTGAATTCATTAAGTTGTAGAATATAAATCAAGAGTTGTCAAATATCTAGAACAGGGAGTTTTCTTCAGAGGTCTATCAGTATCTGTAAAACATCAATTTATAGCTATGATAATACTAGAACTAGAAGTGCTTCCCTTATAATGACCCAATCCTTGGATTTACTACCAGCACAGACCCTAACATCAACATAGGCAGAAAAAACCCTTCCATTTGATATGATATTGTATAGTTCTACTGTGTCTTTGTAAGGAATACATATGCAATTTAACACACTATCACTCTTGTTTCAGAATCTAGCAAGCCTATCATTAATCCTAAGTCTCCAATGAAGCCATTGTTTTGGAAAAGAATTCAGGTTCCAACAGCTAAATCAAGTAAAGATGTGTACGTCAGTTTGTAGATTAAAAATGTTGGTGTCGGAGCTACACGTGATGGCTGAGGTTGAAGCTAGTATATGTTTCTCTCTTACAATAGATAATACAAAAAATTGTATATGCTGTTGTGTATTCATTGTGTATAAAGTAAATCTCAGACATGTGAACTCAAGTTTTACATAGACTTGTCAGATAGTTTAGAATGAGGAGTAATAAGAAGAATAGAGTTCTTACATTAGATAAGGGATTAGCATAATCCACCCAGCTCTGATGGGTACCTAAAGCACATCAGGGAATGTCAAGATGGCTGGCCATAGAACTCACCACAATATAATGTAATATTGTGAGTTCACAGATAGAGACAGTCTAGTCTGAAAGGATAATTTTTTATGTTCTTTTTTTTAAAATTGTGCCCTTTACTATTGATAACAGTACTTTCACTTAAAAGGCAGAACAGTAATTCTGTATTGCTCTTTTTTAGAGGCAAGATTGTGTGCCTATATTGCTTATGTAAAAGGCCTTTTGTGTTTACTGTTTTAATTCTAACATACCATCTAAACACATGATTTAACTGTTGCAATGGGATATGATGTAACACACCAACACATCATATAACTGTTGCAATGGGATATGTAACACACCAACACATGATATAACTGTCGCAATGGGATATGATGTAACATCCCAACACATGATATAACTGTTACAATGGGCTATTTCAGTTCTGCTGGTTCATCTGGCCATCAGCTGTTCTGGGAGGAGATTGAAGAAGAGAACATCAACTTTGAGTTTTTTGAGGAACTTTTTGCCAAGGTGCCAGTTGAGCCCAAGAAGAAGGCTGCCAGCAACACAAAGAAACCTAAAGCTGTGCAGGTCAGTTTTGTTTTACTGTATAGGGCAGTGTGGGCCTGATGGTGTCAATGGGGGAGTGTGGGCTTGTTAGTGTAGGCTTGCTAATGAGTGTGGGACAGTATAGGCTTGATAATGTTTTTTTGCTCTTGTGTATGGGGCAGTGTAGGCTTGCTAGAGTGTATGAGTCAGTGTAGGCTTGCTAGAGTATATGGGGCAGTGTGGGCTTGGTAGTGTAGGCTTGCTAGTGTGTATGGGACAGTATGGGCATGGTAGTGTATGTATGAAGTTGGTATGTATATGATTGAATGCATGGTCACTAACCTTGAATTTCTTATCACAATATTCATATATTAATTAACTCATTTTTTATTAACTGAGGTAGAGAGAATGGTTTAGAGAGATAGGAACTGTCTTTCTGTTAATTTAAGATTGGATAAGTTTTGAGTAAACACTGAAGGATGACTAATCAGCCAGTGATAAGAATGTCCTGGGAGTGAAAACATGCTCATGATTCATTTAATTTTTTTTTTAAATTCTGTAAATTTGGTTTTAGATAGTAGATGTAAACAGTCCCTTGTTACACTTTAACTCTGTTCTATTAACCTTAACATGCTTAAAATGTTTTTTGCTACAGGCTGCTCATAAAAATAAAATTTAAAAACTTCATCGGTGAAGGTTTTAAGTAGTGCCATAGATTAGTACAAACACTCATGTAATAATTTAAAAAAAAAAACAAAAAAAAACAACAGCCTGCATTTTGACAGAAAGGCAACTGATTTGTGTAAGTGTTGATTATCTACCTTTGACTAGTGATTGAGTGTCTAGTTTTCTATCTTCACTAGGCAGCAAAAGTTGTCCCCCCTAAAAGATCTCAGGCAGTTGGTATATTGTTATCCAGTATAAGGATGGAGTTTTCAGAGATTGAAGAAGGTGAGATGCTCATGGTTTATTTATACAAGGAATTTGTAATTATTTTTTTATCTTTCTCATTTATCATAATACTAGCTTTTTTATTGATTTTTCACTTTACAAGTTTAATGAATTTTTTTTATTCATTATGAAATGGTAAATACAAATTTAAATTATTTTTCAAAATTATTATTTGCGTGTATTAGCTTAATTGTTGTAGAAGTTTCTATTGTGGGTTTTTACTTTTTATTGTAATTGTAGTTACTATACATTGTGTGTTATCTTACTAAGTAGAAACAAAAAGTGTGAAAAATTAATTACATTCGTTTGTTTCAAATTGACAGCTATCCTCAACTTGGACACATCAAATTTGGATGTGGAAAAATTTAAAGCAATATATGACAATGTAAGTACATTGAAAAGCATCACTTTGTGTTTATCTTTTATTTTTAATTATAAAATTTAAAGCAATATATGAAAATGTAAGTACATTGAAAAGCATCACTTTGTGTTTATCTTATATTTTACTTTATATTAAAACAGGTGACTTATTTGTGGTTTTTTTTCTGTATTTTGTGCTATTTTCTAGTTTGTTCATTAAACTAATGTGACGGATACTTTTTCTGTCTCTGTATTTTATTCTATACTTTGCTGCCAATACACTAAACTTCTGTGACTGATGATTAACTGCCCATTCATTAAACTTACGTGACTGATTTGATTTTGTTTTATGTCAGAGACCAGATGAAGAGGAAATAAAGATGATCAAACAACAGCTGGAGAAACATCCTGATGTCCCATTGGATAAACCTGAACAGTAAGTCTTCAAATCATTGTAAATAATCAGCTGATTTTCATTTAAGACAAACAATAATAGAATATGCTGGAACTTGTATACCCTATTAAAAACATTTAAAAGTTACTTTTGGTACCTGATAACTATTTCCCCTGGCTAGTTATAATGTGAGCATACAAATGTATTTAAAATAATTTATTTATTTGTGTTTGAAAAATATAATTATATCATAGCATTTTTTTATAACACATGTTAAATTTATTACTTAAACACATTTACCTAAATTGAAGTAAGTTGAATCATCTTTTATCAAAAAAAAATTGTCCAACATTCATGTGTTTGATTAATTTCTGTGAGCACCATAACACTGACATTGACTGTAGTGAGTGGATGTGCATGTTGTTTTTCAGCACTGGATTCTCTTTTCTGTTGTTAGTATCTGACACCATGTATGCTTATTGTAGTTTGTCTTTATCACACTGTTAAACATGTATGTATTGTACAACGTTTGGGCTAGGCAGATGCTGAGTTAAAACTATCTATTCACATAAGTATTGTACAACATACAGGTGGGTTAGGCATACAATGAGTTAAAACTATCTGAGGGTTCAAGTGGTAATAAGCAAACAAATAAGGAAAATCCTGATGAATAAAAATAACTTTTAACAGACAGCTCTTCCGTTTAAAATTTTCCATCTCTTCCCATCATTAGATTTGATAGTAAGAAAAATAGTTGTCTAATGTCAGCAGAAACCTTTCTTGTTGGTTTTACATCGGAATGTTTTAAAACATTTGTCAAAATTTTTCTCACTTTGAATAAGTAGACTTGATTGGATATCTAGTAGAGCTTCATTACAAGTATTTGAAGTAGTGATTATAATTAAAATGTCTTGAGTATAACACTAGTGCCATTCAAGTTAATGGCATCCATTTGAATTTGATTTATTTATCTTTTTCTGCAACCTTAACTAATGATAGTGTTAATCAACCAGGGTATTGTATTTATCTGTCTAATTAAAATTTAATTCTTCTGGAGTTTCCTTCCTAACTACTTCTGTTTGTCCAGATCTGTTTAATCCCACTTGAATGAGAAAAAATTGGATACTAATCACCTTGTATATATTACATGGTATTTTATTCCAGATCTGTTTAAATCTAATTTGGATGAGAAAAAATTGGATGCTAATCACCTTGTATATATTACATGGTATTTTATTTTCTCATCATAAAATTGTACAGGTCAATTAAGGCACAGGACGATTAAAGGGACATAACCGATGAGATTGTGTCTCTCCTGTATTTCAGATTTCTTTATGATCTTGAGCAAATTCCCTATGTCAGTGATAGGATATTTTGCTTCATCTTCCAGTCATCCTTCCAGGAGAGTATGACACAGATTGACAGTAAATTAAATAATTTAAAAATGACGTGTCAGGTGTGTTATTATTTTTTTTATTTGTACATTTTTTAAAATTTATAGATTTGTCATGTAACACGGTAAATTTTAAATTCTTTAATGAGCAAGTTTTAATTGATTTTTCAAATAAACATTGCTAATATCTTTTTAATGAGGTATTGTTTTAATGTCTTATATTTCACAACATTTGCATTATAGTGGCTCTGAACAGAATAGGGAAAAAAATTGTGGCAGGAGGGGGGAGCTTATCTTTTTTTTAAAAACCCATCCCCATGTAATTGGATTTATAAATCAGACTTTGTTATTACGAGGTATTGTAACACTGCCACTATATTGTTAGGAGGTTTTGTAACAGTCACCATTCTCACTTGAGTGTTGCGCACACCACTTTTAAGTGGTCTTTTATTATTATGGCACATAATTTTGCTGCAAGCAATGAAATGCTTTTGTGTGTTTGCTGTGTAATGTTTGAATACTTGTACATCTATCACACAGCACTCTTTTGTGTATTTTGTTAACAAACCAAACACAACATTAATTACAGAAGTCATTTTTTAATACTTATTTTAAAATAATTTCTATTGTGTAGAAACTAAAGATTGCTTTGTTTTACATAAAAAATTACAGTTAATTTATCACAAATGTTTTTAAACTAATCACTTACATACAGCAATATTTTGTACATTGTAATTAACATAATAACTAACTAGTATCAGAGTAAATATACTTACAACATAATTTTTCTTAGTAGAAATAGCTAGCATGAATTTTATAGATAATATATAGACAATTAGAATGATGCTCAAAACAGGCGTAATAGTTTCTGTAAATAACAGATTTTTTTATTTGAATTCTTTGTCTTTAAATCTCAGTCTCTATCAACATTTGTGGGAGTGAAGAGGATATTTGGCTTGATTCTTGCTTGTGGAAACTATATGAATGGAGGTAAACGGGACATGGGTTTATATTTCAAGTTGGGGGTGGGGGTTATGAATCCAATAGGTGTTTTATAGATGGAGTGGTAAATAGATGAAATCTTTAACATAAAAGAAGACTCAGATGGGTGGTAAGCAAGCGCAATTATACATTTGGATGTTAAATAAAAGCCCTAATGTTCATTGGGTAGCAATGTAGGCTACATAGTTTTAAAATGGGTGGCAAATAGGATAAGTTTTGTTATTTAGTGATCAGTGTTCTAAATGGTTGACTAAAAGATTTACTCAAGTGGCACTATTTTTTAACTATCCACTGGCATAGAAAGGCAGTTATTACTCCAGAAAGAATTTCTATTCTATCTTTTTTATCAAATATTTGGGGAAAAAAAACAAATGCCTTTACTAATACTGTAACAAATATGATTAGAATATACAGCATGCCAAAGTATTTCAATTTTTTAAATCCAAGTTTTCTCACTGAATCGCTGTAGCATGTTTTAAATTTTGACATCCATGTACAAAGCTGATTAGTGGCATGGCTGTAACTGATTATGTTTAGCATGGCTATAGTCTGTCATTTAACCATGTCTCACCACTACTGAACCAGTCATTCTGTCGTGTGGAATTTGAAAAATGTGATTTGATGTGGTTTTTGTAAAACAGGTAGCAGAACTAGAGGTCAGGCAGATGGTTTTGACCTGGAGATTTTATCAAAACTAAAAGATGTCAAAGGAAAAGTAAGCTGCAGCAAAAGTGAAGGCCTTGGTGCTAAATGTACTTTAGTCACATTCTTGTTAAAATCTGGCTACTTTTACTGGGTCAATATAACTGCTGGAATCTTTGTTTCAGTCCTTCTTTTTGCCTACAAAATAAAACAAAAATGTCAACATTTAGAGACCACTTATAAGCTTGTTTATCTCTAAACTGTTTATCCCTAAAAGTTTACTTTGTGACTGAAATTTAATTAGCATCAAGGCTTTCAATGACATTTTAGTCTCTACTTAGTTATTTTTTTAGCAAAGATTTTGCTTTCTCACCTAAATGAACCTATCAAGTTTGAACAAACGAAAAAAAAAAATTATACCCATGATAATGAGTTAATATTTCTCAAAACTCCCTTTCTGCTAGGATAACCGGACAAGTCTCCTGCAGTTTGTTGTATCCCGTTATGTCCAGAAGTATGACGTTGAAGTCATGGGGACGGACAAGGCAAAGCTGCCATTGCCTGACCCCAGTGATATACTTCAGGCTGGGCTTGTCAACTTTGAAGACACAGAGAAGGAGCTCAGGAGGATACGCAAAGATTTTGAAAGTACAAGATTTGTTTATTATTTTTTTTTTATTTTTAAATTTCACTTGTAATGTTGGGATAGTTTTAGCATAATTAAAATGCAGGCCAACCAGTCTTCACATGAAGGAAAGTGTTAAGTCCTGTAATTTATGGCCATCTGACTGTAGCTATCACTTGATGCACTTATTCCTGTACCTCCCCAGGTGCAGAGAGCAAAGCCAACAATATTTTGTCATCATTAACATCAGATCACATTGAACCCTTCAAATCTGTAATGACAGCATTTTTCCAAAAAGGTAAACAATCACCACTTAGCTTTTGTAAAATGTTGTCCATGTCTTTGGGCCATTCAATTAATTCATGTAAACATTTCATTTGCTTACATAATAGTTACCTAATTTATTGTTATGTATGCTATTGACATTAGTTCAGAACAAAATGGCTCTACACTCTCAATGCTTCCACCAGTTTCTCACCAGCTTCTTTCTGTTTGTACATGATTGTTTTCATCGTTAAGTTTTCTGCTGCAGTCACTAATACTGATGTCGTGTTTCAGGCAAGCAAGATTTATCAGAACAAGAAGATAACTTACATGAGTGCATGAAATTGTGAGTCTTTTAAACACTATTGTTTTCAATACAAATGCTTTTCTAAAGTATATGTCTTTTACTAATTTAATTTTTTTTTAAAAGCCATACCAGTGTTAATATGTCTACAAAAAAAGTATCCATTGGGCAGATGAAGTAGAGTTCATATGTTTCTTGACTTCAGCATGTGGAGGGATGGTATTTTTGGCACAATGCCCAACCGCCTTTACTTTCCCCAATTAAGTCTAGTAACCATCCGAGCTGGGTGGACTGAGGGATGTTCTACAGTCACACCCTCTACCTTTCCACCATGCCGACATATATTTACAAATTTTTATTTTGTGATTAAAGAAAAAAATTTTATTTTTAATAATCACTACCTGATATTTACTTTATTTTTTACTATTGAAAAGAATCAGCTAGATATTTTTTTAATTTCCTTATATCTGGCCCTCCATGATATTTCCCTTCATGTTTTCTTGCACCTGATGTTCCAGGTTTGACCAGACCTGCACATTTTTCTGTGTCAAGCCACGCGGCAATGAAAAGGTGGTCACCCCAGAACATTTCTTTTCTCTCTGGTTATCATTTTGTTCTGATTTTAAGGATATGTGGAAGAAAGAGCAGCAGCATATCATGAAACTCAGGTTGGTGCTGTTGAACGTTGTTTTTTTTCCTCTTGCTGTGTATTGCTGGTTTACCGAATGTCCAGGGTGCTTAGAAAGCTATGCAACAAACTTGAATGCTGGGCCTTGTATGACATTGGTGGCAACTAAAGCAAACATAAAGCTACATGAAGATTAAAACTTCAAAATTTAAAACACATGAGTTTTTAGAATACATTTTTTTCCCAGTTTAGCATTCTTGTTCTGGTACAATTAAAACTAAGATTAAATAGCCAAAAATAAATTAGTTTTTTTCTTTATGCTGTATGAGCTGTCTGACATAAGCAGCTTAAGTTATTTATTTATTTGCTGTATAAAATATCAATATATAAGCAGCTGCATAAAACACTTCAAGTTTTCACTGTGTTTAAAAATGCCTTGTTATATATTTACTACTGATTAAGACATAAAAATCAATGCGACACAATGTTTCAGTTCATCTTATGTTCTATTAGATATTTTATAAAGTGGCAGGATGAAAGTAGCGTATGTATGTGATTACACATTTAACAACAGATATTTTTAATTTGTGATATTTTAATTTTTATTACTCTACAGATTAAAGGAAGCAGAAGAAACTGTAAGGATGATTAAAGAATCTAAATCTGTTTTACCTCCAACAAGAGCTAAAAAAATTGGAGGGCTGGTAGGTTGAATGATTCTCACACTTTGTCTCTAAAAATATAACAGTAATATTGATAATAGCAAATTACAACCCTGAAAAAACCTTCACGGCAGAGATAGTACTATAATAAACTAAAAGCTTAAACTTTCTAGAGAGAAATTTTAGAAAATGCTGCATTAGGTCATGTTTATATGTTATTACTATTAATTAAGTATCTCAGTCATTCATTCTGCTTAACTCAGATACCTATTTTAGTTTTTGTGTTGGTTCTATCAGTTGTATTTAGATTATTTATTAATTAACTGTTGTTTTCAACAGAAAGACAGATTATCAAGGCAAGGCAAAATTTAGATGCTTTTATAGTCTTTGGTTCTGCTGTTGGTTAAATCTGGTGAGTGTTGACTACATTGTGTGTGTCCTTTTAACATTCTTACATGAAATTCTTCATCAAAGCAGAATTATGAAACTTCAAGAAAATAATTGTACCTGTTTATATCTTTTCCCCACTGATTTTTAAAAGGGAGAATTTATTTTAATTCTTTTTCTTTAACTTATTTCTAAATTAGAAAATTACTTTCTTTTCATCTGTTACTGTAGAAATCTTCAATTCTCCCCCACACCCCCCCCCCCCCCTCACTATAGCAATACATGACTTCCTAACTAATGCTTTCTCTAATTATCTCCCTTGTTTCAGCAATATCCCACCCTGAAGGTACACTACACAAGCTGATAACGAGAATGTCATCAGTGAAGTTATTAAAATTGTTTTAGCAATACGTTTGTGAATAAAACTGTACATATGTAAAAAAAAAAAAAAATAACCAATCAAATTGATATTTAATAGTGATTATAATCTGGTTATTATACATAATGGCTTATTGTTTTATTATTTAGCATTTTTACCTTTGGTAGGTTAACTAGTAATTTGGCAGTTTCACTGTGAGTAAAATCTCACCAAAAATAGAGATAAATTTCAGATGCTACTTTAAACAGTAGGTTACATTTGCTGAAAATGATAACTCACAGCTAAAAGTAATGTAGTAAAGAGTTGTCTTCCTTAGCTTCTGAAATGTTATGATGAAAATACATGGTTGCTGGCCATTGTATATAATCTCTGATTTACTATATATATATATATATATATATATATATATATATATATATATATATATATATATATATATCTGTAATACAAATATGCATGTGTAAATATCCTTTTCAAAAAAATAAAAGTGACAGTATAAATGAAACAAAACCGTGATACTTGATGAAAGCTAATCTCTGTTTCAAGTTTTAACTGTACAGTAGTTGCGAACTGGTTCTGTTTATCTGATTCTTAATCTGTGAACAATTCTTTGAATGGCTGTGCTGATGTAAACTGCTGGTTTTTTTATATGTTGAGCCTGTTTTAACATAAATAAATTTGTTTTAAAGTTTTTAAATTTTGTTTTAGAAGCATCTGAAACTTATGTGCGTTCTGAAAAAAAAATAGAATAACATTTTTTTAAGTATAGAATCTAATAGGGTTGCAAAATTTTCTAATGTGACTTAATAATTCTTGTGTCCTATATTTTCTAGTCTAGTCTTTTTCAAAATGGCATTGTTAGAAAAAATATCTTGTGGCATTTGTCAGGTTAGAAATTGTTTTCATTAGTCTTATAGTCTTAGCAGTAAAAAAAAGTTTTTCAAAATTTGATTTTAACAGGCTAGTTGAGATGGGGTGTTGGCATTATTGTGATATCTGATCAGCTGCCAGTTGGGAGGGGGGAGGGAGCTGGTGTCTCACATCAGTATCTTGAATGCAGGCATTCTGAATCATATCCCATGATGGTTTGGCTGGCCAAGCCTGATGTAAAATATTTGTTTGTTCCATCTTCTCACTGTCTGCTGTTCTTCTGTCTTATCCGTGTTTATTCTTCGACTGTTTTTATATCTCAAAGATAAAAACATTTATGCAATTACGTAAACAATTTTTTAAATTTAAATTAGGTATTTATCCCAAACACCAACTTTAAAAAAAATTTATATCATTTCTTTTATTGGCAATGCAGGCATCTATACTTCTATCACACCCACTTGAAACAAAAGACAATTTTTCAAATCTTTGTTTGTATGGTAAAAATATGCATATAAATTCTTATGTTAACTAGCATACTTGTTTTAATATAGGAAATTAAAGGTTTTTTTTGTTGTCACTGTGTACTGTATAAGCCATATTGTGTTCTGTGTGTGTAACCAGTGCATGAAACATGTAGATCACTTGTTCATAACTTCTTCATAATTTGTTCATATGTATATCTTCTCATCTCTGATGCAAGAAACATTTTTTTTTTAAATTATGTATCCCAAACCTTTATTCTTACCTCCCATGCTATTTTAGTCATTATCTATTATCTCCCATGTTGCCCCTAACATTAAAGTTTATTTATCCTTGTTTAGCCATAAATTCTGCTCTATTCTTACCTCCCATGCTACCCCTAATAGAAGTTTTTTAAAATCCTGCTTATTCTGTTTTACATGGATTAGATGCACTGTGATTATGGTAGACTTAATAGCTTATCCACTGTGTTAACATTTTACTTTCAATTTGACAATTTAAATTTCAAGGTCTTAACACTATTTTGTTTATATATTTATCTTTTAGCTTTCAAAACACATATGGCCTATACATTAGGAAAATTCCAAGTCTCATGTAGAGTACAATAATATCAACTCCATTGATAAAACCATTAGCTTGCACATACTGGGTTTTATTTCTTTAGCATTAAATATTAGTTGCTTTGTTTTTCTAAAATGAATCGTAAAATTAGTTTCCTATCTGTGTTGATAGATAAATGTGTCTGGATTTTAAAATATTTGTTTCATATCTTATTACATGGAGCATTCATATTTTGCTTAATTGTGGATGGAATAAAGAAAAAACAAACATTAGACACATCAACATCAGGTTTTATTGCTTTGATATTTTGTGTTTTGAAATTAATTGCTATGGTGTACATAGATAAACATGCTGAAATTGTGTTAACATAGATCAATATGTTTTTTTATGAAAATGTTTGAAATATTTGAATTGGAGAATGTATCTGAACATAAAACGTGTTCAGAATTTTAAAAAATGAAATCAAACTAATTGATAAGTGATACATTAAATATATTTTAATGTGTTGTTTGGATTTCTTTTTTTTTTCCCAACATTTTTTTCCTTTAATGTTAGACTATACAATATTTATCACTAGATTATAGCAAGTGTTGATATACCCTACCCAGGTACCCATCAAAGCTGAGTAGGCTCAAATATAAACTATCAACTAAGCATCATGAACCGACGTCGAGCCGTTTGGCTACTAGTCTTGTGTTCTACAACTCGACCACGCCGTCCCTAATGCTCTAGTGGCAGGCATATTTTTTGAAGGACCATGTTTTTTTCTTTACATTTTTTTGATGTCTCACATTTAAACTGTTCAGAGGCGTAGCGATGGGGGGGGGGCAAGGGGTACATCTGTCCCCGGGCGCCGACCATAGGGGGCGCCAAAATGGGTTGTAAAAACAAATGAAAATGTCATTTGAGCTGCATTTTTGCATTATAAATAGTTTGGGGGGGGGGGGGGTGAAAATTGAAAGTTTGTCCCCGGGCGCCGGGAAGGGTCGCTACGCCTCTGAAACTGTTCAAAATTCCTCCTAAAGTCTAAAGCCAACAATTTCGTACACTGGTTCACGAGAAGATCCCCCCCCCCTCCAATTTCTTACCCGCTGGTATTGAAAACGCGTTGTTACATAGCCCACACATCAGACTCATGCATAGCCTACTCATTAGGCTCGATCCCAAAGCCCATCCATTAACCGAGAGGCTGCTTCCTCCCAATAAGGAAAACAACAATGTGAATGCACGAACACGTATATTTATACAAGAAAATAGGGATTAGTTTAATTGGCGGGTGAACACGATCAAAGAGCTACAACTACGTGTGTGTAGAACCTTTTCAAACCAGGTCTTTAAAGTAGGCCATGATGAACAAGGCAAAGTTTAACTAGATATCCGTATTTCAAATAGCAGAGACCGGTTTATTAAGTTTGACAAGTTTGACAAATTATCATAGGTCGTTACGACCAAAATAACCACTTAAGTTTGATATTACCATAGGTCATTATAACCAAAATGACCAGTTTGTCCAGCGGCGATTTGCACCCCCCCCCCCGAACTTTTTATTTGCACCCCCCCCCCCCTCAAACTTTCGATTTGGCGCCCCCCTAAGGTCGGCGCCCGGGGACATATGTCCCCCCCCCCCCCCTCGCTACGCATCTGAGTTCGACTGTGCCACTTTTGGCCCTTGCGACCCAACCGGTCGTGACGTCATTAACACCGAGTTTCTGTCACACTTCCAGCGTGTTGACACGTGTCATAATTTTTTCTTCAGGCGATACGTCTCGGCTGTTACCGTGTGTAAAGCAAGGCACACACCCTTTTAAAAGACGATATTACGTCACATACTATAAGACTACTTGGGGGGGGGTCGTGGTAACTTATTTGAAGTTTAAGATAATAGGTAGGCCCCTATACCACTTAACTAAACACTGAAGAATTCTGATTGATTAGACGCTAATGTAAGCATTTTCCTGAAGAATTCTAATTGATTAGATCCTAATGTAAGCATCTTCCTGAAGAATTCTAATTGATTAGACGATAATGTAAGCATTTTCCTGAAGAATTCTAATTGATTAGACCCTAATGTAAGCATCTTCCTGAAGAATTCTAATTGATTAGACGATAATGTAAGCATTTTCCTGAAGAATTCTAATTGATTAGACCCTAATGTAAACATCTTCCTGAAGAATTCTAATTGATTAGACCCTAATGTAAGTATCTTCATTAATTCAGCGTAAGACCAGCCTTTAGTTTAACATCGGTAAAATAACGGTTAGCGGCCCTACACGCTCAAAGCAAAATGTTTATTCTAAATTCAAATAACAAGGAACCATAACAATCCATTACCCTATCGTAGGTAAACACGACTTGCTTTGAACATAGAAACAGGCATTGAATATGTTTTATCTTTTATCTCCCTCGAGAATCATAGTTATACTGACACTACTGACAGCTAAAACAAGAAACGAGTCACCCCCCCCCCCCCAACCAAGTATTGGATGGGAAACAGACCCGGGAAGGGGGGGGGTGAGTGGGAGGGTGGATGACAATTTTCTAAGGATCTCAGATCAGCCGTATCGTTTGATATATACTTACAACATCATGTAATCTAAGGAAATTAGCCCCCCCCCCCCCCGAATAGATGTCTGAAAGAAACACTGCCCCCTATCCTTGATGCTTTTAGCCCGTAATTATTCTCAGAATGTGTATAATTAGTGAGAGAGTGGATGACAATTTTCTATGGATCTCAGATCAGCCGTATCGTTTGCAGTATACATACATCATGTAGACTTTAGAAATAAGCCTCCCCCCCCCCCCCAATAGATGCATGAAAGAAACACTGCCCCTTATCCTTGATGATTTTAGCCCGTGATTATTTTCTGAATGTGTATAATCTATGTTATTGTGCCCAGGGGCGTAGCGAGGGGAGGGGGCGGGGGGTGCGGACCGCACCGGGTGACACCATTTAGGGGGTGACACCAAGGCAAAAAATAGCAAAATATATAGAGAAAAACCTGAGGGGGGGGGTGCAAATCTCGAAAGTTTGAGGGGGGGGGGGGGGTGTAAATCGAAAACTTGAGGGGGGGGGTGCAAATCGAAAGTTTGAGGAGGGGGGGGTGCAAATCGAAAACTTGAAAGTTTGTCGCCGGGAAGGGTCGCAACGCCTCTGGGGGGGTGACACCATTAAGTGCCGCACCGGGTGACACCCGACCTCGCTACGCCACTGAGTGTGCCTATACTATGCATGTGTATCTTTACGAAACCGTATTTTTAACGCAAGCTATTTAATCTCGGGAGTATGTCAGCAACATGGGTAATGTGAAAAAACGTTTTGAAAAAATTTACACGCACCGTATGACTTCACATAAATTCGAGACAACAGTTTAATGCGGTCCTTTTTTAAAAAGTCGTTTTTTTTTTCTTGTATAATAAATCCAATAAGCTTTTCAGGGTTTTAGGAACATTGTGTAGAAGGGATTTCTATGGGGCTTTGATTTACTGAGAGAGCGACAACTTGCATTCAGATAGACAAAAAGTAAAATGGTTGCCGTCGTTGTTAATGTTATCTATGACGTACGTGGGTATTGTAGTGGGGAAATCAATTTATAGCTCCATACTACAGCTGGTCATGTTACTTTAGATTCATGAAAAATTCTACCGCCCCCCTCCCCCCGAACGAAATGAAATTTATATAATTTATATAGAAAATATATACTTTTAACAGTGTCCGCCCCCCCCCCCCCCCGAAGAAAGTCTAACGCCCCCCTCGAAAATTTCAAGTGCCCTCCCCCCTCCCCCCCCCCCCCCCCAGGAGAAAAAAGTCTGTAAGAAACACTGGTTACATTAAATGGCGCTAAAGTCATGTTAAATTAGATTCATGTTAAATTAGATTTTGCTAATGTTACACTAGATATAAGGAAAGTCATGTTACATTAGATGTAGCTAAAGTCATGTTACACTAGATTCATGTTAAATTAGATGTCGCTAAAGTCATGTCACATTAGATGTTGCTAAAGTCACGTTACGTTAGATCAGTAAAGTCATGTTACATGAACTGACAGTAAAATCGTGTTATTGAATGCCGTGGTCCAGAGGTAGAGTCCAAGTCAGTAGAACGTCCCTGAGTCCACTCAGCTCTGATGGGTACCCGACTCACGTTAGGGAAAGTAAATTCGGCTGGGAATAGTGCTGACCATACTATCCCTTTAAATGCCGAGGTCACAGAAACAGGTGAACTCTACTTCACTTGCCCCATGGACCGTCCGGTTCGAAAATGGAACTTATCTAAATTCATGTCATGTAAAGTCATGTTACATTAGATATCGCTAGTTATATTACATTATAAGTTGGTAAAGTCAAGTGCCACGTTAGTAAATCATGTGCTGAAAAAATGTGCTAAATGAATTCGGGAAAGTCATGTGTTAATCGAAGTCGGGAAAGTAATGTGCTAGCTAAAGTTAAAGGATGTGTGTGCGTGTGTGTGTACGTGTGCGTACGTATGTGTGTGTGTGTGTGTGTGTGAGAGAGAGAGAGAGAGAGAGAGAGAGAGCAGAAGAAAGGCTATAGGCGTGAAAGAACGCCATCGAGAGAAAAAGAATGCACACAAAAGCTATGAGGGGAGATGATCAGTGTAAAAGGTATCAGGTTAAAGTTTAATTTCACCCATAACCTTTTCTGTTATAGTATTCTATTTAAAGTAATATTTCATCATGTCTATTGCAGCATTTTTGTTAGCGTGGAGTTAAATAACTCCGACAGAATCTACACAATGTTTTTTTTCTCCTGTGTTGACATATCCTTATACACACTTCTCTCCCTACTATATATACACACATCGTGGTTAACGCAACTCACACACGCAGTATCTCCTGAGTTCTAAACGATCCTAACCTCTAAACTTTAAACAATCCGTAACTATTTTGATACAGACTTAATTGAATATAAACATTATTTTCTCCTTTCTATTTTTTTTTTATCTTACTAAAGGTCCGCAACTGAACAAAAAATTGTTACCGTTGTTGGGCTTTACAGGAAAAAGTGTTAGCCCGCCTACTATAGATATTTCCATCAGACGGATTCCCCCCCCCCCCCCCCACCGAAACACGTCCACAAGACCCCCCCCCCCCCGAAAATTTCAGGTGCCCCCCCCCCCCCCGGTGAAAAAAGTACGGAAGAAACACTGCCCACCATAACATGCCCTTACCTGCCATCACCATTACCTGCCCTTACCTGCCCCAACAATTACCTGCCCCACAATTACCTGCCCCCGCCATTACCTGCCCCCACCATTACCTGCCCTATCCATTACCTGACTTACCTGCCCCCAACATTACCTGACTTACCTGCCCCAACCATTACCTGCCCCACAATTACCTGCCCCCACCATTACCTGCCCCCACCATTACCTGCCCTTACCTGCCCCCAACATTACCTGCCCCACAATTACCTGCCCCAACAATTACCTGCCCCACAATTACCTGCCCCACAATTACCTGCCCCCACCATTACCTGCCCCCACCAT